TCCCCCTCTTAAACAGGCTGCCTCTCTGGACTAATCCAGACACTCCTTTCACAAGGAGAACTTGTGATTTTTACCTGAATTAATCTGGCATTTTGTATTTACTTAAAAAAAAAGAATAACTGTCTCATTACTGGACCAAATAAGTCATAAGGATACTTTTCATGTTGAATAACTCTACACTGTAATCCAAGGGTCAATGGCAAAACCTCTGTGGGCAGCAAACCTATGGAAAGGAGAGCATGTCACCTCCCCCCTTCCTAAAAGATTCCACATCTTAAGGACACAGATTAGTCTTCACTAAAAGAATCATTTCCACCCCCTGGTTTTCATTACGGTTGAGTGCAGAGCAGTGGCTTTTCAATAAAGGATAGGATTATATCCGTCATTACGCAGGTAATCAGATCTATTGTGCTCCCTGATGAAACTGCCAAAGGTCTAACTAATTGAGTATAAGGACATGGCCTTTGACCAAAGCCAGTAAAGGGAGACTTCTTTCTTCACACTCCCGGCTTCTGCTTAAAATAAAAGGCCTTGCTGTGACAGATAAGGCCCAGATCCAGGAACCGATCAGCACATATGAGTCCTCAGAACCAAATCTCAGATGTAAAATGTGGACAGAGCTGTATACCTAAGGCTTAATGTTCTAGGAGTACACTTAAAAGAGATGGTCATCCATCTCAGTAACCTACGTGTTTCAAAGATTTGCAGTTTGGACTACTTTTACATGTCTGGGAGACAGAATATCATTATGGACTGTTAGGCAATCCAAAAATATCACTGTTTCCATGTGAGGATACTTATTTATTTTTAGACTTAATAGTGAGTGCACCATCTACATGAATTGGACTCACAAAATGAATCGTATTACCCCCAAATCCAGATAGTCGGTTCGCATGAAACCAAGTTTCATCAGTTGGGTATGGTGCTTGGTACAGGACACAAATGCTACACAAACACACCAGCACCACCCCTCCAGGGCTGAGAGGTGTGACCTCTTCACTCTGAGCTCCTCAAGCAAGACAAGCTAACAAGAGAAATGCATAACAAATAGGTTTGTCTAAAGTTGCTCATGTTCCATGACACAGCAGACTTCAGAAATGAAGACCCATGGGCCTAGAGAAAACTGACGTCTTTATTTGTAGATTCAAGGAAGATGAACAGCTAGGTAGAAATGTGATTTGACAGAAAGAAATGAGTTCATGGTATTAGACTAGGGAACCCAGAAAGGCCCGTGAGTTCAGATTTGTCTTCTTGGCCTCTCTGTGTAGCATTTCTTCCTCCAGGTATAGGGCAGGGCTCCTCTGGAATGATACCCTGGGGGGCAGAAAGGAGAAAATGATTTTTCTAGGTTTTATGGATGGCATTGGGAGAGAGGGGTTCTAGTTTCCATGATCTGCCCTGGGAAAGAGGAATCCTGATTTCTATGATTCTCTTTGGAGGAAAAAGAGGAGCAAGACACAGGAGGACTGGAAA